AGTAGGTGCTCAATAAATGCTTATCATTTCTCCTCTGTCTCTGTCATCCTGTACATCCCTGTGATTCATGGTTTACATACAGCTTTACACGTATCACCTCCCTTGTGGCAAAGCTTGAAACGTCCCCTCCAGAGGCTGCTGCATACAGTAGGTGTGCAATAAATGCCTGCCGTGGTTGACTAAGAAACAAATGACTATTGTTCTGTAGTGATCTAGGCAAACCTAAGCGCTTCCATCCGGGTACCCTAGGAGGCCTGGGATGGAGGCTGTGCCAGGCAGGCCTCAGTGGCGGTGAAGCCATTGATTCCACAACCTGTTCCTTGTTTTTCCTTCTCCTCAAGTCACCAGGGCACCTGGTCCTCGTTAGGGACTAATTACTGGCCAGCTATGGGCCTGGGGTCAGAGGGCTGTTGGAAGACTGTGTTTGGAGGAAAAGAGCTTTCTTTTCAGGAATGAAAAAAAAGAATAGAGAAGGCTTCTGCTCTATGAATCAAAAATTTGGGTGAAGATCTCTGCCGGCTCCATCTCCCCCGCCCTTTCCCCTCCCCATCTTCCCTGTTCTCCAACTACACAGATGTCTGTGGAGCCTCCAGACAGGGCACTCCCGCCCACAGCTGAGATTCAAGTTGGGATTAGCTGGGAGCCTCCCCCTGCCTTGTTGCTGGCTGGGCAGAGAGACACGGGACTGGAAAATAGCTGCAACCAGCAGGGCAGTAATCTCTCCTAGTAATCTGGGCAACCAGCAGGGCGGTAATCTCTCCCAGTAATCCCAGCAACCAGCAGGGCAGTAATGTCTCCCAGTAATCCCGGGAACCAGCAGGGTAGTAATGTCTCCCAGTAATCCTGGCAACCAGCAGGGCGGTAATCTCTCCCAGTAATCCCGGCTCACACGTCTCTGCTGGGGCTTCCCAGTTTACAAAACATTCACCTGGTCTCTTGACAACCTTGGGAAGCGTGTGTGTTGGGGACAGTGTCCTGGCCTCAGATGAAACGGAGGCTCTCAGTGAAACAGGGATGCCGTGGCTCCAGCACACACAGGCCCGGCATTCGCTCAGCCTGTAACCTGGGACTCAAACCCAGGACAGTGATGAACAGCACCATGCCAGGCAGACTGGCAGAAACCTGAGGCCCAATAGTATCATTTATAGCAAAAGAAAACCCCAGCGTCCACATTGCATTTAGTTATCCTGTCTTCCGGGTGTCCGTCATCTGGCACGGTTCTTCAGTGTTTCGTTGTCTTCTGTGATGTTGCCCTTTTTGACAGATACAGGCCAGTTCTTTTGCAGGTGATTTTTGGTTTGAGTGTGTCTGGTTTCTTCATGATTAGATTCAGGTTCTGCATCATGGTGGGAACGCCTGGGAAGTGAAGCCGTTCTCTTCTTACAGAGCCTATCAAGAGACATACATCTGGGTGGGTGCGGTGGCTTACACCTATAATCCCAGCACCTTGAGGACAAGGCAGGCAGATCACTTGAGGTCAGGAGTTCAAGACCAGCCTGGCCAACATGGCGAAACCCGTCTACTAAAAATACAAAAATTAGCTGGACATGGTAGCAGGCTCTCATAATCCCAGCTACTCAGGAGTCTGAGGCAGGAGAATCGCTTGAGCCCAGGAGCCGGAGCTTGCAGTGAGCTGAGATCACACCACAGCACTCCAGCCTGGGCAACAGAGCAAGACTCTGTCTCCAAAAAAAAAAAAACAAACCCTCAAAAAACAAACAAGATGCACCCATCCATAGGGTCATCATCGGGATGCTGACTTGCATCACTTGGCTGAGGTGATGCCTGCCAGCCCTCTCCCCTGTAAAGTTACGGTTTCCCCTTTGCAATGAATAAGCAAACGCCAACATTGAAAGGTCAGGTTGAGGAAGGAAGCCAGGAAGAGCGCGGAGCAGGAGCATCTGAGAGACCGGAGGAAAGCAGGAGGGCATTCTGGAGCCGGCAGGAGGGGTGGCAGGAGCGGGGCGGGGCCAGCATTTGGGGCCAGTGCTGCCGAGAGAGGCAGAGAGACCGTGCAGAAGAGGCAGAAGAGTGTCCCTGGGAGGCAGGTGCCACCTGCAGGTGGCAGGCATGGAGTTAAGCCTGGTTCGGGTGGCACAGTGGGCCCAGAGCCAACTCCTGCTAAGCAAGTGTGAGCGGGAGGTGGGAATAGAGATGACTGGGAAACGCCTCTGTGGGGAAGGTGGTCTGTGGCTGGGCAGAGAGGAACAGGTGGGGACGGAGAAGCATGGGGGCGGGGGAGGGACAGTTTTGAATAGATGGAGGGGACTTAGGACATCTAGAGTGTGACAGGAGGAGCCAGATGAGAGGCGCAAGTCCAAGGAGAGGGGTGAAATCCACAGCGTCCCAGGTGGGAAGTGGGAGCGGATGACAGGGGACACGGTGGTTCTGAGACCGTCGTTGGGGGTGCTTGTCCAACAGCGTCCCAAGTGGGAAGTGGGAGCAATGACGGTGGACGTGGTGTTTCTGAGGCCATCGTGGGGGGTCCTTGTCCAATCCACAGCGTCCCCAGGTGGGAAGTGGGAGAGGATGATAGCAGATGCGGTGGTTCTGAGGCCGTCGTGGGGGGTGCTTGTCCAACAGCGTCCCAGGTGGGAAGTGGGAGCAGATGACAGCAGACGCAGTGTTTCTGAGGCCATCGTGGGGAGTCCTTGTCCAATCCACAGCGTCCCAGTTGGGAAGTGGGAGCGAATGATAGCAGACGCGGTGGTTCTGAGGCCATCGTGAGGGGTGCTTCTCAGAGCCCAGCCTGATGGGGCAGGTGGACGGGGACTGAGGGACAGCCAGGCATACAGAGGAGAGTGAACCACACTGGGGATGACCTCTGGGGGTGGGGAAGTAGGGAGGGTGGGGTGCCCAGAGGTGAGGTGGCTGGCAGGTGGCAAGGAGGGCAGGTCCAGGGTTCCGGCCGTGAGACTGTCCCCAGCAGCTTTAGCTGCCTGGTGCAGATGGACAAGGCCAACCTTGGGGACGCAGGGCTGGGATGTTCCAGGAAAGCGGCTGGACGAGGAGGGTGGTGAAGTCTGGAGGGGCCTGAAGGACGAGGAGGAAGTGTAGGGAGGGCAGGGTCAGCGGTGGGGTCTCAGCGATGGAAGCAGGGGATGGCCTTCCAGGGAGACCGGCTGCCAGTGCTGCGGGAAGTGGTGGGAAGCCCAGGATGGCAGTGGGGTCCGGGCTGCAAGGGAGTGAAGGGGTCTGCACATGGGGAGGTCTGGGATCGGGGAGGCCAGGGCATTCGTGGTGGACCTTGGGAGGCCTGAGCCATCAGGGTAATGGCAGGAGTTGGGGTGGGCTGGAGGTGGCCAAAAGTGGGGTAGAGGTGGCCCTGAGCCGTGGCTGCTAGGTTTACAAGTGAGGGATCCACAGAAGCCCTGAGGAGGTGTTGGGGGGCACCCCTGGACACCAGGGCCCCAGAGGAATGATGCATTTTATAGGAGAGCACAGTCTGGGGACTTTGGAGGGGCGAGCTGGGTCTGTCAGAGGTGGAGGGAAGGGAGCACAGGAAACAAACTGGGGTGGCTTGTGATCTGCTGGGGTGTGGGGTGACTTGATTTCCCAAACAGCTCTGCACCAGGATGATGGGCAGAAGCAGTCGGGGAGGAAGGCAGGGGGCTCCCCAGGCCTGAAATGCTTGGAGACCGCCCCCTCACCAGGAGGGTGGGGGTTCCAGCCCCAGATCCGGCCCTGTCAGCACTGGCGGACCATCAGGGCTCACAGCCTCCTGCAGGAAAAGCTCACGTGGATGGGGCTGAGGAGGCAGCACTGGCCCTGACCCGAGGCCACCAAGGCTGGGTCACCCTCAGCCTGGCCCAGGCCTCCCTTCCGAGAAATCAGAGGCTCGGTTGCCCCATGGGCATGCGGGGCACACAGAGGGTCTGCTGCTGCTGGGGAGGGGATGGGCCCCTGTCCTCTGCTGTGAGGCCTGCGGTCCCTCGGGGGCCTCTGGACGCCTGCACACCTGTCCTGCCTGCTGCTCTGAGCCTTCACTGTGCCTGCTGGCTGGAAGGCATTGAGCACGGCTTGGTTTCTATTCAGTCAGAGACTGTGATCCAAGGAGAGCCCTGGGTCTCATGTCCTGGTTCTCTCTCTGCTACTTTGATGTGACAGGAGACTTTGGTCAAGTCCCTGATCCTTTCTGGGCCCTAGTTTCCTTAATGGTGTCCTGGGTGGTGACAGGCCCCCTGTCTAAAGCCAGCAGGCATCTGGTTCCGGAGGTGGACGCAGCTCACCGGGTTCAGATCAAATCCCCAGTCTGAGTCAGGAATCAGTGGAGGTGACAGGCCCCAGGGCCCCAAAGCCTCCTGGGTTTTTAGGAATGGAGAGGTTCCCAGCACCTCCTCAGGCCTGGGGCACATCTATCAGTCAGCCCGGCTGGCCACCTTCCCTCCCCTTCCACATGTCCTCTCATGTCGCCCCCCAACTCTGACTGCTCCCTTGCCAAAGGAGTGCTCTCGGTCACACACACAGGAAGTAACCCCTTGAGGGCTCAGCACCGCCCCTCCATCCACTTTATTTGCCTCCCATTCCTGTTTGTATCCCTTGAGCTCGACATGGATCTCTAAAGATATCATGCCCTGGGGTAGGACTCTGGGACGGAGCTATCAGACAGTCACACCTTAGTGAGAGTTGACTTGATCCTTTGCCAAGGGAAAAACAGACTTTGACAGAAGGGAGGGCATGTCCAGAGCCTGGGGAGGTAGGTGGGAGAGGCAGGGGCTAGGGAGCCCCCAGGGGGCTGTGTGTGCTGCACAAACCCTTCACCCATAACCCATCCACGCTTTCCATTCCTTTCCCCAACCTTAGGGCACCCACTGGGAAGGAAGCACTGGCTGGGATGTGATGCCACCTCTCCCTTTCCCTTCCCTGCCCCAGGGTCCTGGTTGGTGGTGGGGGAAGTGGGATAGTCAGGGTTCCATAACTAAGCTCCCAGCATAGAATTTCTACGCCACAATTCAGGCGCCACAGCAACCAGGAGAAATAAACACTCCGAGCTTCACCGTCCAAGTTCTGCCGTGATGTCATCTCCAGCTCCAGACTGCTGGGGCCTGTGCTGGCTGTGCTCCGAACAGTCTCAGCTGCTCAAGCCGGAGAACCGCCTTCCTTCCCAGACTCCTCGGTGTCTGGGGCGGGGTGAGGGGTTCTCAGGCAGGGCTTCCCCATCCCCTTGCCTGCTGCTTAGACCCTGCTCTAGCTGCTGTTGCTCCTTCCCCAGCCACAGCCATGAAACTAGCCAAGAGGACCAGGAACTCCATGTGCCACGTGCAGCACCCAGACAAGGAGCCGTTGCCCTCGTGGCAGGAGATCAAGCAGACCCCTGTCATCATGGCCATGCTCAAAGGTGAGAGCCATTCCTACTCTGGGCTTGGGCCCACTCCCCTCTCTCCAGGGCTCCTTCTAGCCTGCTTCCTGCAAAGCCTCTTCCGACTTCCTTGAAGCTTTACAGAAGCCCTGAGCCTTCAAGCTGACCCTTGCAGGCAATGTTGCCTGCAGGGATTGTCCAAGGGGGTGGGGGAGGGTGGGAGCGTGGGGCTGGCAGTGAGGCCAGTTTTGGAAAAAGACTAGGAACTTTGTCCTAGCTTTAGCTTTCCTCACTTCCCTTCAATTTTACTCTCAAGGGAGAGCAGACACTAATTCTTACTGTGTTGGTAATGACTGACTAGTGCTGTAAGTGGGAATAATTTAGTGCAGGGATTAAAGGTTTGGATTCTACTGACTGTCTCAGAATATTCACATTATTAGTTTGTGATATGTAGGTAAATTTATGTGTGTGTGTGTGTGTGTGTGTGTGTGTGTGTGTGTGTGTGTGTGTGTTTTTGTTTAGATGGAGTCTCGCTCTGTCACCCAGGCTGGAGTGCAGTGGCACCATCTCAGCTCACTACAACCTCTACCTTCTGGGTTTAAGCGATTCTCCTGCCTCAGCCTCCCAAGTAACTGGGATTACAAGCACCCGTCACTAAACCTGGCTAATTTTTGTATTTTTAGTAGAGATGGGGTTTCACCATGTTGGCCAGGCTGGTCTTGAACTGCCTCAGCCTCCCAAAGTGCTGAGATTACAGTCGTGAGCCACCGAGCCCGGCGTAAATTGATATTTC